GAATAGCTTATTTGAAGAAATCCCTACCTCTCCTATTGATGATATAAATTTTAATGAAATAACTAAATATGTATTTACTCAGTAGAGCATATCAATAGGAACCATTCTGTTCCTGCTGAGATATACTCACCAGAGATATTGGAACAGCAAGAATCATTCAGAGTCTCTAAGTTAACAATTTACATTTTTAGCTCTTATATTGCTTTTACAATTCAGTCTTTCTAAAAAGAAAAAGCAAAGGCAAATACTGCAATCAATTTTAATGATTAATAAGCAAGAAATTCAAACTTCAATTAATTCTAATGCTTCATGGAAATCATTGTAAAGCTATCTTAAGATTATTAAAAAAGGTGTAACAATCTTCAATTAAAGTACCTCTACTAACTTAAATTTGAACTCTTCATTAATAAAGTGGAATATATCTGCTCATTTAAATTGAAAAAACAATGTATAAGGCATTATCTATACGTTGTATAGTAGTTTCTCAAAATATGAACAGCATAGTTTTCCTTTAAACAAAAAACATCAAATTTTACTTTTAAAAGGGAAAAGAACTATAATTATTTAATATAATTATGCACAATATATTCTATTTTTACAGTCAAAACGGGTTTCTTCCAAATGAAAGAGAAACCAATTAGCCATTCAAACAAATACATTTTTAAAAAGCACTCCAGTCAAAGGAGATTCAAGACATAGAGTCATGGTTATTTTCTCAACAGTAGCAATTAACATTGAAAAATATATTTAATTAAAAAGTTTGGAAATTTTGCTATAAATAGCTATAGCATTACGTATTAATTATTGTATGTAAAGATACAAAAATCACATACTATGAATAGTCACATTTTGTATAGCACAATACCATAAATATGTACTGGTAAATAATACTTTTCTAAGTAGAAAAAGTGAACGTTTGTTTGATACCAACTATATCCGATGTGGACTGGAATAAAAAATTAACAGTGTTTCCAGATAATAATATCCAATAAGAATATATTCAATCTGGGAGAAATCACCATGGTAAATGCAGGAATTGTCTACTCTTGTCTCCTAGGAGGAAATGGAATTATCTTACCTGTCACCCTGACACCCAAGATCTTTGTTTACCTCAAAAAGAGCTTAACATCTCAAGATCTAGCCCCCTTTTTTCATGGCTTATTAAGCAAAAAGCCAAAACTCTTCATGGTCCCTGGAAGTTCCAACAATCCATGATTCAAATAGGGGTAATGGCTCTCTTTTCTTGTTCAGTAGTGTCCTGGTGAGGGAATGATTTTACTGTCCTTTTTCTGTGGGGTCCTGCCAATTTACCTAAAAGGAAGTGAATTACAACAGGATGACAAGGCCACAGAATAAAGCCATTTAGTTTTACAAATCTATTATGTACTTCAATCTGTTTTATGGGCCTTGTCCTATTATAAACCAATAAAAATCCCCAAACAAACTTTTTTCCTCTTTTCTCTGTTTCCAGTGAAAACAATTACAATTTTATGATTGTTTTTCAAACAAGTTAGCCTTTTTTCTCCCTTATGTGCTTCTTTTTCTAGAGCCCTTCCATCACACTTTCTCAAACATACAAAACATTCAGAGACAAGAAACTGGACTTTTCAAATACAAACTGCTGACAACTGTCAGAAACACTTTACTGGGACATTACTGACTGTAGCTTCAATGAATTAAGCTTGATTCACTGCGGGTGAATCATTTTCAATGCAGAGTTGTTCAGCAGTAATTGGCCAAGAATCCCTGCTGTGAAAAGCACTTGTCAAATAATGCTTGTTTACAAATATATCTCCAGACAGCAAAAAGTGGCAGTTACTGAGTAAGTTCAGGGCCACCTCCAAAATTCATAACAGTGGACATGTGGCCTTTACTTATTAAATTTATTAAAATTTTCACTTGTTGATACACTTGCTAATATTTGTCCTGCTTGAACAATCTGAGACAATCTGTTGCTAAATATGCCTCTGAATTCTTTTATAATAAAAAATTTGGATATTATATGCTAAATCAAGGACTTTTTGTAGCTTATGCTTAATACAATAAAACAAAGATATATTTATCTTATGAATTGCTTAAAATTCAGGCTAAGGAGTAAATTTTCCTCTTATTGTCTGCTATTCAAAATATTCTAACATTCTAAATAAATAAGTTTCATATCAATCCAAGATTATAGATATATGTTTGGCTTCTTCTGTTTAATTCTGCTTAATTATATGTAATAAGGTTAGATTTTAGAAGTGATTAGAATACCAATTATGAATGTACACTCATATTTATATCTATCTGTCTTGAAACATATTTTTCACATTATGGGAACGTTCATATTATACACGTATACAGGCAGTGTGGAAAATCACTAAGCATCTATAGATAGCAAAAAGGAAATTACATGAAAGCAAGTTATTAATGAATTCAGTGTGTACATCAAATCTTTCTGCCCCGGCTTCCCAAAGTCCAGAAAGACAAATAAACTGAAAGAAACTCTATTTTAAATCTCTAAATAAATAAAACAAATAAACAGACCAGTGTTATAAATATTGTATTATCTTTTGCTGCTTGATGTATAGCAATTAGCATGGAGAAACAAAAAGAGAAGGATGTAGATTTCGCAGAACAGAAATAAAGGTCTGGGAAACACTAAGTAGCAAGATGGAAACTGTGCTGGGCAGACATGGGATGAATTAGATAATGCCATAGATATTAGTACGATTTTATTTCTATGCATAACAGTGAGATATCACAAAATGCGCCCCAAACTGCAGGCTCACTTTTTATTCTGGGTGTCTTCAGAGCACCAGGTCAAAAGGTACCGCTCATTTTGGGTTCGATCCCCTGCAACCTCCATCTTACTATAGCCTAACTTTTACTGTGCGATCTTCCAGCTGGGGTGAGACAATACAGTCTGTAGGTGTTAAATCTGTATTCCAGCCAGGCTGCGTTCCACAAGATTCCAGCTCTGCTTACAACAGCCTAGCAGCCTGGCGCTACCTCCTCGCCTTCTTCCACTTCCTTCTGCCCCTTCCTCCTCCCCGCAGTCTTGGCCCTGGCTCCCTCTCAGCATCACTCGCCCTGAGAATCCACTTCTTCCCATTTTCTAACCAAGAGCGACTCCCTTTCATCGCTCTACCGAAGTCCCTCGCCTCCATTACACCTGGAGAAAAAGACCTGAAATATAACGGAAACACGAACGGATACATGATATTACTGTTAAACCTCTTTAAATTCAAACCAGGATGCCCCCTTCGGTGGAAACAGACAGTTAATAAAAAGACCTCTAACCCTGTGAGAATTCTCCAGACTTCGAACAGAATGAATTTAGCATAAGCTTATTAATAAAAGGTCTACGACTCCAGGAGACACTTTTCAACTTTACAGGAAAGGAAAAACACCCACTGCTTGGCTTAAGCAGGAGAGATCATCTATGTCTGTACAGATAGCCGTACATCAAAGCCTTTGATGAGAGTTTACAAACTGAATTTAGGCGTTAAGAGAAAAAGTCCATGGGAGGGGGGTGGGGTGGGGGTTCTCCATCTGCCCTGCCCCGCATGGTCCCTCGCGAGCTGGGCTGGGGACACTGGGGACACTCGCTCCGCGCCTTCTCCCGCAGCCGAGAGTGAGCCCGTGCAAGTCACGAGGACACACACGCCTCGGCCGCTGCTGCTTCATCTTTCCGGTCCCGCGTCCCGTGCCCCAGGAGTGGAAGAAATGAAAGGTTCGGAGCCTCGTGAGAGGCATCAGCAGCCCCAAACCGAAACGCAGAGCTTCCAGTCAAGAGAATAGGTCCTGTCATGTTTTCGGGGTGGAGCTGACCGTGCCTAGCAGCCCTGATGGGGATCTGAGATGCTGCGCCCTCCTGCCTCCTCCCCGCCAGAAACGCGCCCTTGAACTGAGACCCGAGCGCAGACCCGGTGGGAGAGGAATGAGCGCTGTCGGAAGGGACCCGGAGGCTGAGGGCGAAGGGCCACGAGGTGGGCGGGCGGAGGGGCCGAGCACTGCTCCCGGAGTATGAGGAACGACACAGGTGTGGTCCCCGCGCCGGTCCTGCGCTCCCAGGGAAAGGCCAGGGCAGTCTTAGGGGTCCCGAGTGCAGGATTGGGAGTAGGGAGGGGGACTGGGTACTCCAGGATTGGCGCCGGCCAGAGCAGGTCTTTTCCAATGCAAGACAGGAATCGCTGAACGCCCGCAGCAACTTGGTAGCAGCAACCCCCCCCCCCCCCCGTCCCTCCTCCCGCGGCGTCCCACCTTCGCGCCTTCTTCCAGAGTTGACAATGAACTGCCCCTAGAAGATGGGCACCCAGCAGTGCGGGACGCCTTCTGTCCTCCGCCATCCCCCTCCCATGAGAAATAAAAGCTCTTGCCACCCACCCAAGAATAGCAGCTGGCGATGCCCTAAATAACAGCTCCCAGAAGGCACTTTCCCCCAAAATAAAAGCATCCAGCCACCCCCACAACCTTTCCCATTGCCGGCCTCAAATAACGGTTTCTAAAAGCCCCACTGATCCCGAGATCCTTGTAGCCGAGCTCCCAACAGTTTCCACTCCTTCAAACCCGAAAGGCCACTTCCCCACGCGCCCTAAGTGAGACTCAGCCGCACCCAACCCCCCGGCGCGGGTCTCAGGGCCCCCGTCCCCGCGGTCTCCAACTTCCCAGCCCCCTTGGCTAGCCTCTGTCCACATGCACGTCCCTGGCCCAGCACTCCGCTGTTGATGTCAAACAATGCACCCAGGCGGCAAAGAGGGAGCGAAAAGGCCAGCCAAAGGGGACGACACATATTAATTGGCGATGGGAGTGAGATGCAGTCCGCGGGGGCAGCGTCCAGCGCGCGCCAGGACCCGCACTCCCAGGCCCCGCCTAGCCCCT